TGTACTTTTGTCTATGCAAAAATAGTTCAACAATTGGAAAATAGTTAAAAATTTCACGCAGCAGCGCATGAAAGCTGAATTCCAAACCTTGAAGGGTGAATATCTTTCCGTGATTCCAGAGTTGATAGTTTACCCGCCAAAATTTTCACGAGGCCGTAGGTGGTAACCGAGAACGCAAGAACGCTGAATTTGAACAAGCAAGGTTGAGCGTGGGTAGGGGACCATTACCCTAAAATTTCAGCCCCCCAGACTCCGTGGTTCCTGAGATATTAATTTACGCGTAAAAAACTTTCGTGGGGCCGTACGTGTTACCCGTGGGGACGGGAAGTCTGAATTTAAATTTGCCACGTCACCCGCTGGCGGGGAACACTATAGCAAAATTTCAGCCGCCTAGCTTCTGTGGTTCCAGAGTTGAAAGTGCGAGACAAAATGCGGGACACACACACACACACACACACAAACACACACACAGACAACCCCGCGACAATATGCGTTTTGTAAAGCTGTTACACGGCACAAAATGCATAAAAAAAAGAGGCGAAGTTTTGTTTTCTGGACAGTGCAAGATCAGGCAATTATAACAAACCGCTTTCTTTCATCTTTCGCAGTCCCTCTTGATAATTGGGTCCTCCGCGACGTACATACACTGTGACTTTATGTTCACGCAAACGTTCCTGATATGCTTCAAATGCTCTCACAATCCCCTGTAACGAAGAAGATCAGCAATTATCCATATGTTTTAAAACCGAAAGGATAGAAATGGATATGGAGGCCCAAACAAGAAGTAATCATTTCAAATAGGAATATCAGCGTTGTGCTGGACGAGAGTTACCTAATTTAATGCTTCTTTTTTACATCCTCCCTTTTTAACTTTTTAATTTTTTCTATCATTCTTTCTTACATTTTTCAACAAAATTTTCATTCAACCTTAAATTAGTAATATAAACCTCAGTACCATGTACCATGCGGGTCAGTATAAAATATGTAAGTCAAAAACTTTTTGTGAAGTCGCAAAAATCTACAGGTGTTAAGCCAACGTAAGGAGAAATGGATGGTTCAGGTGAGATGGCCGGAAAGGATGAAACTAGAAGAGTTTTTTTTTCGGGCTTTGATTGGCAGAATCAAAAGTTCTGAAACAACGGCCAGTCCAAGCCACGAAAAACTTGGGGCGGCTGAAACTCCGAAAAAATTTTAATAAAAAGGGAAAATTGGTTAATGAAAAATGATTTTGAGGAAGATAAAGGGTCGTTAATGCAGTTAAAACCATATGACATTTAAAAGACTCATGTAGAGAAACGTATGTAAAAGGTTGTCTGCCTGTATTTCATCCCTAAGTTGCAAACACATACAGTGCTTCATTCCTGAACTGCAAACACTGATAGTTAATTCAACGAAAATTCAAAAAAGCTGGTTTGCGTTATGCATGTAATAACACTGGACCTACTTTGAAAGTATTAGCGACATTGGTGAAATTGGCAATTGAGCCACCAATAATCAGAACTTTGCCGTTTGGATGGGGCTGGCCTTCGGTGAGCATACCAAGAATGGTTTTTGCATATTCGAATGTCATTGTTTCAGACGGATCACCCGAGTATTCGCCGTAATTCGCTAGCTCAGCGATTCCTCCCAGATCACATACTGTATCCCTGAAATGCATTATCACGGTAACCAAATCCGATGCCGAGGAATGAGTTACATCGCGTCCAAACGAAGCAAAGCAGACAATTTCTTCATTCACGTTAATCGAGATTTCTCTATTCTTTTTCCTCTTTCCTTTGCATGTTTTTTTATCCTATTTCATCTTACGCCTACGCCATGTTCACTGAAACATGGTGGTTA